TGTGTGTGTGTGTGTGTGTGTGTGTGTGTGTGTGTGTGTGTGTGTGTGTGTGTGTGTGTGTGTGTGTGTGTTTAACTCCTAATTGCTCAAAGCAATGTTTGGTTTCCTGTTTGAGGTTTTGCTTAACCTAAATAGATAGGGGAAATCAAAAATGTGCACAGAGCAAAAGGTTGGGATTCAGGAGAAAACTGTCTGGCCACATGGAGGTGGGGGTCACCAGTTATGTAGGAGTGGCCATTGCACCCATTAGCCCCTCCTTGGTGGCACCACTGGGTTGGCTTGGAAAATTTTACTGAAAATTGCTGTAAAAACCGAACACACTGCAGACAGCCATGGAGAAAAYTGAAATTGTAAGATTAATAAGATGCGTCTCCCAGAAGATACATACAGTTATTTTAATTTGCATTCGAGAGGAGCGTTTGTTGTTATGACTGAAGACTTCAGGGATCATTCTGATTCCTTGAAGTTAAACAGTTTGGAATTAAAAGAGACATTCAGTTCACAGCTTTCTACAAACACTGCATATCTTCTTGCTTTTATTAAACTCATTTGTAAGCCACTCATTGGTATTAAAGCAGACTGCAGGCAATGATCAACAAGGGACCCTGAGGGTGAATGGACAGTATTTACAGGAGGACCAGCTTTGCACAAGCTGCAATATCTGAAACAAGTGCTGGGAAAAAATATTGTTTTTGCAAAACAGGAATGTACGAAGTAGATAGATGGTGTCTCTCTACTTCTGTCACACATGCTGATATATTCACACACTGGCAGAGCCCTTATCTCTCTTTCCTGCCTGCTCTATACTCTGAATTCCCCCCTCAAGATGATTTGAAAATCTAAGGCCCCCCAGAGGACACATGCATGTGCACAAGTGATTTTGAGTTTTAATGAAAGTCTACACACATAACCTGTGTCATAGCTCACTTTTGAGCACTCTGCAGCTCAACCGCATTCCAGAGAAATGACTAAGTCTTCACCTCGACGTCTCCAGGGCAAAGCAAAGCCACATTCTCGATCTCATTGCAGCTGAGCGCTGACTCACTGCCCGTGTCTAAATAACACACGGTTCCTCGGGGGCGACAGTCAAGGGCAGGAGGACACACACCCCTGTGCACACAAAAGGTAACACTGACAATTACATTTCTTCCATATTTCCCGGAACGCAACTTCAGCAGCACGTGGCTGCAGCTCAAATTATCAGTGCCCTGACCTTACACAGGAAAAACCTCAGAGAGATGCTCCGTCACGACTGTGAGGACAAATAATGAGTTGCATAAAGTCGGTACGGTTTGGTGACTGTGGACTGGCATGATGAGCGCAATTGACCTTTGACCCTTCAGAACAAAACAGCACTTGTGCTGTAGATTCAAAGGAGAGAAAGAAAAAGAAAATCAAGTCTAAAGCCCAACCAGAATGCCCAGGTCTAAGCATACCAAATGTAAGTATGGATTAAAATCCTAGGATTCCTTATTAACCACCACATTTCATGCTAGAGTTTAGATTAAAATTAATGTTTGTTAAAACAGCTGTCCTGACGCATCTCAGTAATACAGGTTGAAAAAAATCAAAAAGAAAAAATAAGTAGGTCCTCTGGATGGGTTCTTCTTTAGTGAAACGTTTCATCTCTCCTCCAAGAGACTTTTTCAGTCTGATGAGTTTCAGGTGAACTCAGCCTTATAAGCACTGCCTCCACATGGTGGACAAACAGGTTAGTCACATGCAAAAGAGGGCCATTGCCTACCAATAGGCTTGATTAGCTCTATTGTTCAGAGGGTCATGTGCCCCAAACATGACGTCCCAGTGGCTTTCAAACCCCAAAATATGTTACGACAAAGATTAGTTCACCCCAAAGATCCAGTTCCCCAGCAAAAACAGAGTAATATAGTGTATGCTGTTAAATGCCAGGAGGACTGTGATCAGTTATACATTGGGGAAACAAAACAGCCACTGTTCAAAAGAATGAGCCAGCACAGACGAGCTACTTCCTCGGGTCAGGACTCTGCAGTTTACACTCATCTACAGGCCAGGACTTTGCAGTTTACACTCATCTACAGGCCAGGACT